TTTGCTTGTTCTCTGGAACTACGAGCTCTAAGAAATCACGTAAGCAGAGCTGTCGTTTGGCTTCTTGCTGCGATGCCGAGGGAGCCTGTGTGGGAAACCAGGCAGACGGGCCGGTGGGCCGAAGGGATGAGAATGGGAACCCTGATGCCCGTGTTTCACCGCTGGATTAACCACTGGCCACTTGTGACGTGGGCCAATAAATGCCTTTTCTTAATGAAGCCCGTTTGTTGGGCTTCTGAGTATGCAAGCATGACCTCCGACATTGGCCCTTTCACTCTTACAGAGTCTTGAGTTCCCTCTGATCAGGTCTCACGTTTGACTCCTCACTTAAGTCTGCTCCCATATATTTATGCAGACAAAATTAGCATATACGTGGCACACTTAGAAATTCCTCAGACTTGCAGACCCAGGTCTGAATCCTGGCTTTGTCATTTACCGGTTGGGAGTAGGCGACATAACCCTTCTGAGCTTCCCTTTCCGCAAGAAAACGGGGATTACCTGGGGATTTTTGCTTATGTGGGTGTTTTGCGGGTGTGGGCTAATACACTGGCAGGACATGTAAACAGACCACCGAAACAATCCTACTATTAGGTGGTAGGTACATTTATGTGATTTCTCAATACCTTTTACTCTGCCCACTGGTCTACAGATCCCGAATTCACTTGTGTTTCCCACACTTCTTCCCACGTCACATCTCTTAGCCACCAAGGTCTCCAGGTTTATCGAGGACAGGAACTCGCAGGCTTTGGGAAGAGATGGGAGAGGAGGAGGTGGACGGGAATTTCAAAGTTCGAATGGAGGAGAGGTGGAATCAGGCTTGTTTAAAACGTTGGCGACTGCAGAAGTTGACACCCACTCGCTACTTATAAATAACCCTGTCTCTCAGCTTGGCTCCGCCTGCACGAAGCTTCAGTGGAAGATAACAGAGAGCAGCTGCTGCTACGCGAACATGTGCGGCGCAGGGGAGGTGGCAGGAGGAAAACTGGGACTGGCTCGTGCTCAGGGTGGGATGATCTAAGGATGCGAGGGGAAATCTTAGGCAGCCGGGTCAAAAAGGGCATTTTATCCATCGCTGGAGGCCCGTGGAGGCAGAGAGACGCTGTGGGGTCCGCCATCCCCCTGCCCCGGGGCGCGCTGTGCAGCCCCAGCTTTATCTGGTTAGTGCCTCCTGGCCCGCGCTGGCGGCAGGAAGACAAGATAAGGAGGCTGCTGCCCAGCAGAGATGTACACCCGGGCGCTGGGGTTGCGGGGATGACAAAGTCAAGAGGCATTTCTGGGAATCCAGCTGGGACTTCTCAGAAGTAGGGGGAGAGGCAGAGAGGACTTGAAGTCTTCTCCAGGATTTCCAGTCTGGGAAACAGGGCGACCACGAAGGGTTGAGTCAAGTTCGAGAATGCAAGCACCACCAGGGCAGGCTTGGGGAGAGGGGCTCAGATGTTATCTCGGTCTGAGGTTCCCGAAGGACGTCCATTCATTCGACCCTTACTGCGTCCCACGTCAGAGTCCATTCTGGGTGTTCATTTCGTGGCAGAAACACAGCTTAGAGGAAAGGGTAGGGCTGATAGACACGCGATGTCCCTTGCCCTCAACTCTAGCGTCTGCTGACCCTGTGACCCTGTCCCTATCGTCTGTACTTGTAAAGCACCCCCCCTTTTAATCATTTAAATAACAACAGCTCCCAAAACCAAATGTACCCCATCAGACACCGCGCTACATTTGACACTCCAATAAGAAAAGTAGTATTCTCATTTTAGAGACGAGGAGCCCGAGGCTTAAAACCATCAAGCGACTTGCCCAAGTCCGCACGGCCGCTAAGTGACAAGGCTGGAAATTGCTCCCAGGATCCTCACTGTCCTTAAAAAAACCACCTCAGACGCCACTCCTTCGTGAAGTCCTCCCCGAGTCCCCCCGACAGGCTGTGAATGTGCCCTCCCGTGGATCCCACGGGGCTTGGTTTCAGCTTCTGCTGGCACACAGGCTGCTCTGTGCAAGCCATACGGCGGGCGTGGAGATTCGGGGAGGGCCCTTACAGCACACCAGGCTTTGCTGCTCCACACATGGTTCCACTTAATCCTCCCAACATTCCTAGCTTTTATGTCCTTGTCATACTGCACCCCTCCCTCACTGCCCAGCAAGTGCCATGGGACGGGATTTGTCACACGCCTTCGGTTCCCCGCTGCCCCCAGCACGGGACCGACTACGTGTGGGCTGTGCACTTGGTAACTGAGCGCTGCACTTGCAGACTCTAAACGTGGGCCTCCTGGGGGAGGAAAGGCATGAGATGGAGCTTTCTAGTAGGAGGTGAGCAGTCTGAAGAGAGGCGCGGCTCTGTTCTTTCCATTTTCACCCTCCTTACTCATTTTCAGCCAAAGCACATTCTCTCCAGTCTTTTGACGCCAGGAGGGCAGGGCCGCAGACTGGATAGGAAGCAAGTAGGTACAATTGTCTCTTGTCCTTATCTAACCTCTGGCTCCTTCTGCTGCTCTGGAAACAAACCGCAGTACCTAATAGGTTTTCCGTGAAAATGTAGCATTACTGGAAGAGTCCGTTCTGGCTGCCTTAGCAAGACAGGAGCTGGCGCTGGAGACTTTCTCGCCCGTTGCCATGCTGCAGGCTTTCGGAGGGACAAGGTTCGTTCCATCATCCGCTGTCCCTCTCAGGAAGGTGGGGCGTCTTGACCAGCACCCCCGGTTCACATTTCTTTCCCTCTTTTCCTTGCTGCTCTCTAAGCTGTCTGCTCTCCCGCCGCATTTAGGTGTAAGGCACTGATCTGCATCTATTTGAAAACATCCTTTTTCGGGGTTGCAGTGAGGTGGTTCCAGAACAATTGTGGTTTTAATGCAAAATCTGCCTCACTGGACCCAGCCAGGACAGTCAGGGCCTGGACCTCAGAGGAACCCACTGATGAGACCAAGGGAAAATGGGCTTTTCAAGACTCTGGCTCCTGGCCCCACAGTCCCGGCAGACTAGCAGGGCATGTTGGGGAGGCTTCACACATGCATTGCTAGGGGCCCTCCTCCAGACATCGTTTTAGGCAGCAAACGTGAGGAAGCTGCTGGATATGCACAAAGGTATTTGGAAGGAAAACACTCAGTTACCTTATAAAATTAATCGCCATTACCATCAAAGATATTTTCCTGGAAAGAAGGTATTTTTTGGTTGGTGACAAAAGAATCTTTCATTCACAACTTTCCCTCTGGGGCAAAAGCCAGAATGCAAGATTCTGGATCATTCAAGTCTAAAGAGACAGGAAGATGAGAGATCAACAGGGGGAAAAAAAAAATTAATGAGAAGTCACATGTGACATCTTTAGGTAAGCCTAAAGGTGATGAAAAACATGTATCTTTGTCTGTATCTAAAACACAAAAAACTCCAAAGACATAAATCACTATGGCACTTAGGGAGGCAGCCTGAATGAACCCATTCAATATGCTGGGATATTCTAGAAGAATCCATCAGAGGAGCTGACACGTAAATCACTTTCCAGAGATGTTACTCTCCAAAGATAGTAGGAGGCCACATACACGGACTGATGGTACTCCTAGGAAAGCTGACTGTACGGTAACTCAGCTTTCCATCTACATAAACTTTTGTAATGGTTGGGAAAGTAATAGCGATCATTTCTATTTTTGATTGTTTCTCATATTTGTCATTCTGCAGAGGCAAGACCTTTCTACACTTCACTCTGTGGGAGGCATGTTCTTTGGTTTTCTCAGCATTTCATAGCCTTCGTGAAGCAGAAAACACAGCTTGGACTTAAAGACTCAGATCTGAATCTAACTCAGATTTACCTATGTAATTTTGAGTGAGTTACTAATTTTATTTCTAAATTTTCTTTCTCATTTTATTTCTAAAGTGGGGATACTTATTCTACCAAAGACTCTGAGAATGAAAACTTACATGACAGGCCTGACAGTCACGACTTCCCAATACTCGTTCTCTCTTCTTGCTCCCTTAACCTGCCACAGGACCTCAAACTGACCAACTGCATGTACTGCTAGGTGAAAGGCTAGTTTTTCTATAAAGCCCAGCAAGGCTGATGTTTTAGTGGGCCTGCTTTAAGGGGCTAAAGAGGATTTTTCTTTTTCTTCACATATTTTCAAATCAGAGAGAAGTAATGCCACTGCTCTGTAAGCCTTGAACTTAGAAGTAAGTAACAGATGCAGTTTCCATTTTGTCAGACTAGTCTGTACTGTAATTACAAGCCCTGGGGCAGAGGAGTTTGAAGGCAGACCTCATCTGGTTGGGAGGGCTGAGAGACTGAGAGACTTCACAGAGAGATGGCACTGGGATGGAATCTCACCGTACGGGGAAAATCTCAATGAGGAGAGGGAAAGGAAGGTATTCCTAGAGTAGAAAATTAGAGGCAATGCCGAGGTTATGCTTAGGTATCAGTAAGAAGTTGGAATGGAGAGCTACGGTTAGTTTCTTTCACCCTAAGGTTGCTCTTATACTCTGCAGTTTATACAGCCACTCCAAAAGTTGCAGAAAATCCCAGATTCTTTGCTTCAATGACCATCACACCCCCTGGGGGAATATTTCCTGGGAACTTAGCTCAGCACTTGCCAAGCCAAACCACTTGCCCAGTTTCACAGGTGCAGCTTACTAGATGATCTTTATCTAGGTTTGTACTATTTACACGTATGAGTCAGTTCATTATTTCTTGCAGGTGTATCTTAAGAATACCTACACGCATTTAACTAACTCCTGAATAAACTCTATAGATGTTTCATTATGTTAACAGCTTATATAATATTATGGAGGACCACTGGTATAGTACCCTTATTGTAGCTATACCTTGGATGCAGTTAGACTAACTGATGGGACAGCACTTTGAGCACTCCCAGGCTTTCCTAAAATTTTTCACGGCCCAACTTGCATAGGCAAAACCGAAGCCTTGGCGCCCTCTGGTGGCAGACTGGTTCTTAGAGTCCAATAAGCTGCTCGACTAGAAACAGGCAGGTATTATGAGCACAGAAGCCACAGGATAATAAACATGGCACATTTTCCTAGATCATCTTTACTGAAGATTTTTTGGGGAGGGGGGAGTGGGTAATGCAAAAACACTTTCATATTAAAACAAATGCATATAATATTGAATAGAATATAAAATTTACATTACTTCTTGCAACAAAGTAAGAGACATCAAAGACATTTCAAGGTAGGCTACTCATGAACTTCAGGCTGTATTCCTAAACCCTGAGGGAGGGAGGACACCCCTACATGCTCACACTAATATTATGGGCGCTGCTCTTTTGATAGAGAAGTCTGAGGAGCAGCAAATTAAGTGCTTGCTCATTTGGCAACATCCAGTGGATTACTTAAGTAGTGAAACCATATGCTTTCTCATTTTTTAGAGCATTTTAACCTGCTTTAAAAAGGCCTGAGTAAATAGGAGCTTTATGCTTGAGTTGAAATTATTTCCTTCTAAAGTGATGTTTTTCCTCCTATAAATGTTAACATGCTTAACTGAGGGTATGACATGCGAGATGGTCAACATCCTAAGAACCCTGCGGACTTAAGTCTGCGTTATCAGATAAGGAGTTATAAGTACACTTTCCAAGGGCATCATTAGGAATGAAAAGTAAACTACTCACCTTCGGCAACAACAAAAAAGAAACAAAATTAAAGACTGAAGAAAATATTATAAGATTATAATCACATAGAAAAATTATATACAATGAAAATAATTTAGGGACTTCCGCAAAGACTTCTAAGAAAGGGGGCTACTGAAAAAAAAGGGGGGGCTACCGCTGCTGTATTTGCTTTTCATATTTTATATGATAAGAATTTCTTTGGAGGGGGGAAAGAAGCCATTATGCTTCCTTTCCAAATCTTGTTTGTTCTCTGTAATTTTCCCTTTTGTTGTTGGCAACAATTTATTACTTTGCAATAAGAAACTGAAGGAGTGGATACCCCTGTAGAGATTTTCCAAGGTAATTTAGCAATGGTCTTTTTTTTTGAAGAATGAGAGGGTGAATCAAATGTGCTTAGAAGCAGATAATGAGAGGCAGATTCTGGTGGATGCTGAGGTTTTAGGGTCTGCTAAAGAAAAGGTATGCATAACCTCCCATATAGTTTACCTTATTAAACTTCTTAAGTTTTATAGAACTATTTCTTTCTTGAGAATGTACTCTACATTTTAAAAGCCTTAAAATTAAGACTCAAGTCACATGACCACCTGCCTATACCTTTAGGAAAATGCAACTTTTGTTTTCTAAGTAAGGAATCTGAGGCACAAACATCCCATTTCAGGATAGTAACTAAGGGGAACTCTCAGTGGTAAATTACGTAGTGCTGGGAAAAAGAACAAAAAAGGCAGACACCAAACACCTCCATTTTCCCAAGATTGATTATTAAAAAAGCGCGCCACACTGTATAGAAATCAATGTTCTCTCCCATAATTCTGTGCATCTGGGACTATAGAAATGTCACTGTCCCTGCCCCACATCTTCAAATTAACATTCTCAGGTCACAACAATAAGTCTTCCCAAAGGGGACCTTCCGGAAAAACAAGCTATTTCCTCGGCTCATATTTCCCTGGAAAAAAAAAATAAAATAAAAACAAATAAAGTCTAGTGTGAACATGAGGTCAGCCAGTCCAAATCAGCAGAGAGATCCAACTGGACACGTTTTTGGAGACGTGACTAAAATGGCCAGGAAAGACTGGGCTATCACTGTACAGAGCAGCAACGTGCACTGACTCAAGCCGAGCTTTCGTGGAACTAACTTACAGTTTTGCCATGCGGGTAAGGCAAGAATTTCTGACTTATTTCGACAGAATTCCCAGTTTGGATTCTGGCTCTGCCACTTGCCGGCTGGGTTATCAAATGAGTCAGTACATACAAAGTGCGGAGACAGTCCTACCACTCGCCAAGTGCTAGATTTTATTTACTTTTTAATGGAATGGTCAGGTCTCTATGAAGTACTTCTAAAATGTTACAATTAAAGCAATAACCTTAGGAGCTTAAGTGACTAGACTCAAGTTAGACTGGCTGCACACAGATCCCGCTCTCACAAATACAGACTCTATAACCTTGGGTTATATAATTAGTGTTATTTAATGGTTCAAAGTCCCAGTTTCTTCAGATGGGAAGTGGGATGATAAAGAATGGTACCTATGCATCCTCCTCATATGGTTATTTTGAGAGTTGCACGAGCTGATACAGGCTCTCAGCACGATGCCTGATATATAGCAAATACCCCATCAAGATTGCTGCTCTTGTCCTAAGCACTTCTGGGACTGACTGCTCCCTCGACAAGGTGTCTGATACCCTAATACATTTTCTATCTGCTTTCTTCCGACAGCAGGGGGTTAGTTAGAAAGCAGGGAAAGAAAGGCCATCTTTCCTTTAAATGGGGACCACGATAAGAGACTGCCCAATAGAGAGTGTAAGACTCAGAATGGAACCCAGAACGTTCATGTTAGGTGTGTATGGCAATCGTTCGTGTTCTAGCCTGGATTCACACAGGGCTTGCTGGGCTTGCACACTGGGCAAAAAGGCAGCTACAGTAGCACTTAAGCCTTTTTCATTCATAGTTTAGGCTGAGCTCTGTGAACAAAGGCCTTTCTCACACGCATTACAAGTCCCATAACAAAATGCAACAAAGAGCTTCCTCATACGCTATCTTCTACAATCCTCTAAAAAGTGCTTCCCGCTTAAAAACAGCTTTAAACTGATGGCCATTAGAAGTGATCCCGTGTTACATTCAGCACACAGCCACCCATTTTGGTTCCTAATAAAGCTTTGGCCAGACTGATTGAGACCTGTGGTTGCATATGACACACCTCACAATAACAAACCCAGAAACTGGAGTCTGAACAAAATCATTCTCTAAAAACACTCCAGAAGTAAGAGGCCAGCTCCATCAACATCACTGTGACAAATAATGTCGTAAAACAAACAGCTTCTTGTTTCTCAGTTTCCTCTCTACTGTAGGAAAACACCTGAATATATAAGGAGATTGTGGGAAGTTACAAGAAAAAAGATGAGGTTGGAAAAAAATAATCTGAAATCGAGGCCATCATTTTAACCACCAGGATAACTGTCTACCTGGACCCTACTTGTAATTTGAATGTGATCGCTCAAATGGCTTCCAGGTCACATCCAGAGATTCTCAATTCCTCATTACCCCTCCTGATGACTTCTCAGCAGCACATTTTTTGACTATGCTGGAGCATATCCATGGAACACTGGAAAGGGTGCATTAATTGGTAGTTAAAGGGTAAGCTACAAAAATTAACCTGGGATTCCAGAGACGTTATTTAAGAAAACAAACAAAAACAAAATAAAAGAAAATAGAGAGGAGGGGTGATGAGGAAGGGAGGGAGGGATGGAAGGAGAGAGAGAGAAAGACACTAGTACCTCCTTCTGCAGCATGCACCAGCAATCTATCCAGGAAGTATATATTGGGGAGTAGGGAGGGCATCCACCAGCAAGCCTGAAACAGGAGGAAAAAAAAAAAAAAAAGATTACCTATTCAAATTAACATTTACAAAGCGTTCTCTCAAGAGTTCAATAAATCTTTGTCAAAATACTCTCTTACCTAGAAAGTTCCCCAAGAGACAATTTTAGCTCTAATGAAACAAATATTCAGAAAGGGAAAAAAGAGCAAGCATCCCAAAAGGATTTTCCTCCCTCATATTTAGGTTTTGAAACAGCAAGGAAACAGAAACGTCAACCAATTAGGCATTTTCTAAAACATCTGGGTTTTTAATTTGTGAACAAATATAATTCTAGAACACAGCAGTTATAAGCAGGGAAAGGAGACTTAAAAGCTAAGTGATGTTCAACAGAGCCTAAATATGGCAATGAATCTAAACAGTGGTGACTACATACTTTACTCAGATATAACCCGTAATCTCTTCCTCCCTAAAAATCTGTCAGGGACAGTAATACCCTCAACTCACTCTTTTACTACGCTCTGGGTTAAGATGTGGCAGGGGCCCTACTGGGCACAAAACAACCAGAATGTGACATGACAGGAAGTATGATAACTATGCTCGAATCTCCACACAGCTATCTATTTGATACCTTGTTTGAAAACAGTGACACGTCTAACGGCATATGGCGCCAGGCACTGCACTGGAACTGTCCTGACTTAAAGAAAGAGGCAAAACTCCTGCCCAATGCGGTCGTTACTCGGCGTCCAGAAGCTGGAAATCGGTGGTGTCCACCACCGTACCCCCATCCCTCCTTCTCAATCAACACAGTGAAAGGTTAAAAAACTTCCCATGAAAAAAAATAAAGAAACTTTCTATGGACCAAATCTCCTACTTTTCTTTCTTTAAAACTTCCTTTTTCCATGAAGTCCCTAGGAGAGAAACTTACTTTCTCCATGAAGCCCCGACAAGCTGCCACTCAACCCCTGACATATCCTTTGTAAGTTTCATTAAAAGGAAGATAAAGACTTCAAATAAAGGAAAGATATAGAAATAGAGTCATTTGATCACAATCCCACCTTTTCAGAAAAGGACCTAAACTACAGGGAAGGGAATATTATCTGTAAGTACTTGAGAGATATTCTAACAGAGGATATGAGACGGCTGCTTATAATCAAACATACATTGATGCCACCGCTGGTACATGGGGCATTCAGGGAAAAGATTTAGGAAATCTAGTAACGGCATCAACTGTACTTTTCCTCCCCAAATTTCTCCCTGGACTGCTCTGCCAGGCAGGCATACAGGCAGCCAACTACTAGAATAAGAAATGCAGGGCACTTACCCACAGTTGTTGACAGCCATAAGATTAGAGACAAGCACAAAGGGATAGGTCAACATACTGGCAAAAAACTGTGAAGTGGTAAAAAGACAGCTAAGTTATTAGGTCATTCTGAATCTTTATTCTCTTCCTTCCTCTCCCTTAAAGCCCTAGCGCCACTGTGGGCAACGCTCCACCACTAGCTTTGCTTTCTCAGTAGCTCACATTTTTGAGCCTGGAGATGCTTCCTCCTCTTAACATACCGATACATCCAACACTTTAACAAAAGGCCAGAAGGCATCTCGTACCGTGACAGAGTCCTCCTTCAAATAAAACTGAATTACATTATTTAAGAGAAAAAGTAAATGCAATCAAATACAATGAAGCATTTCAAAACACCCCTGAAGAAAGTAAGAAAACATGAGGTCCTTCCAAAAATGATGGAAGTTACTTCAGAAGTCAACTACTGGAAAACTCCACAGACTCAAGAGGGTGAAGTTGTCTGGTACAGGATCAGTGGGGTGCCGCGAGCAGCAGGCCTGAGACTTGGGGGCACGGTGGCATAGACCAAACCATGTGGGCTTGTTAATGCCACTCCTGTGACAAGGGGACCCTGGGTCATTCTCACCTCTGAGAAACATTAATGAACTTGAGAGACATTCCTGTGAGACATCTGTGATGACACGACCCAGATGAAATTGAAAAGGAAACAAAACACAACTAGAAGGTTAAGGGGGTTTTAAAAAACTCACTCCTGTGACAGCTTGGGAATAACTCTTCATTTCACTCATGGTGGAAACCTAAAACAGGAATAAAGCCTTTTCAGAATGAGAAAATTAAGATGATGCTAACAGCTAATTGTCCCCACTCATATCAATATATTCGATCTCTAAATTTTTAGTTTCTTTGACAGCCTAAAAATTAATTTTGAGATGAAAACATAAAATACTGATTGTGACCATAAAAAGGCAGTGAACTAAATCATCAACTTCATTCAACATTAAGAGACAAATTTGCATTAGACTACAATGGCTTAGGAACAAATGTGATAGACCCAGGATTTAAAAAAAAAAAAGAAAAAAAAAGTAACCTTTTCTGATGTTCTAGAAATCCAATCCCTGGAAACTACATTTGTGGTACACCTGAGGGACAAGTCATTACCTCTACATACATCCAGCTGTGCACCAGATGCTGCAGAGACAAGTCTCCGTACTCTAGAAGTGGACAGCGTGGATTCAGTCCTCCCTCTGTGTGTGTTCTATTTCCCACTATGCTATGGGGCTGCCTGTGCACAAAGAGGCCCGCAGCTTCCAGGAAAGACTAATTCTCAAAACTTCCCAGGCTGAGGTTTCTAAAAAGCCCAAACCAGGAGTCCCATTAACACTTCAGATTAGATGAAACACCATTAATATGCTATAAAACTGTCCTGCTTTGCACTGCCCTCCAAAATTATGTACCAATACAGATGTGATCTCCTTGCAGCACAGAGACAGGGCTAGATTTCTTAGGCTGACTCAGCCATACCCTAAGGACTTTTTAGGTGCATCTTTTCATGGTAAATAGCATAGGTCATTCCATCAGCCTTTGAAAAGTTGACTGATAAGGTTTAGCTATATAATGATGAGTCTGGCACATAATAAAGTGCCACCTTACTTTATCTTTTCTTTTCTTTTTTTTTTTTTAAGCAGGCTCCATGCCAAATGTGAGGCTTGAATTCAAAACCCCAAGTCACATGCTGTACAGACTAAGCCAGCCAGGTGACCCACCACCTTACTTTAAAGCTACCCAAGCTGCCCAGTGAAAACAATAAAGTCAGCACCAGCACATCTCATCAAGATCACAACCTACCCCACTGTCCAGTGCATAGGTATTGACGAGGTAGGCCAGTGAGTTACAGAGCCACAAAGAAATGATGTCACCTAGGAGGCGAGGAATAAGACCCCTACATGAAAAACAATAAAAATAAGAGCCAAAAAATGTGATCAGTAAAAAGATAATCCACTCAATACAAACACTTCTCAAAGACAGATTTTAAAGTCTTCTAGAGAACTGAAAAGACACTGACCGCCAGAATCTAGTCCTAACTAGTTCATTCTACGTAATGTAACTATATTAGAGGCTAATCTCTAATGACTTTCCCATTTTCCCTTTTTTTTTTAAAGGAGTCTCCACGCTGGGCATGGAGCCCAACACAGGGCTTGAACTCACGACCCTGAGATTAAGACCTGAGCTGAGATCAAGACTGAGACACTTAATGGATTGAGCCACCCAAGCAACCCAATTTCCATTTTTCAAATGCAGACCAGCTATACATCCTGGAGCTCTGGCCAATGGTTCATCTTACTATCAATAACTACAAGCAAGAGGGGACAAAAATGTGCCTGCTTCAGATAAGAGACTTAAATATAGTTTTGGCTTGGGAATGCAAGCTGCTGCAGCCACTCTGGAAAACAGTTTGGAGGTTCCTCAAGAAACTAAAAATAGAACTCCCCTACGACCCAGCAATTGCACTACTAGGTATTTATCCAAAGAATACAGGTGTGCTGTTTCGAAGGGACACATGCACCCTAATGTTTATAGCAGCACTAACAACAATAGCCAAAGTATGGAAAGAGCCCAAATGTCCATCGATGGATGAATGGATAAAGAAGATGTGGGATATATATACAATGGAGTATTACTCGGCAATCAAAAAGAATGAAATCTTGCCATTTGCAAGTATGTGGATGGAACTGGAGGGTATTATGCTAAGTGAAATTAGAGAAAGACAAAAATCATATGACTTCACTCATATGAGGACTTTAAGAGACAAAACAGATGAACAGAAGGGAAGGGAAACAAAAATAATACAAAAACAGGGAGGGGGACAAAACAGAAGAGACTCATAAATATGGAGAACAAACTGAGGGTTACTGGAGGGGTTGTGGGAGGGGGCACTAAGGAATCTACTCCTGAAATCATTGGATTTGCTAACTAATTTGGATATAATTAAAAAAAAAAAAAAAAAGAATGTATGGGCGCCTGGGTGGCTCAGTCGGTTAAGCGTCCGACTTCAGCTCAGGTCATGATCTTGTGGTCCATGAGTTTGAGCCCCGCGTCGGGTTCTGTGCTGACAGTTCAGAGCCTGGAGCCTGCTTCAGATTGTCTCCCTCTCCCTCTGACCCTCCCCCTTCATGCTCTGTCTCTCTCTGTCTCAAAAATAAATAAATGTTAAAAAAAATAATAAAAAAGAATGCATAATAAGTGATTAGGAATAAAAAACATGTAAATCATAATAAATGAATAATAATTTTAAAAATACATATAATTTTGGCTAAGGTATTTGATACTTAAATTTGACAGGGCTAAAAATGGCTACAAAATCACAAAACAAAACAAGAATGGCCCAGAGGGCCATCTTTTTGAGGGATATCAAAAAACACATTCCCAGCGCCTGGGTGACCTAGGTGAGGCAGTATGCAATTGCGGGATGAACATTACCCCACAGACTGAAGACTGGGGTTCAAATGCCACTTCCACTACCTATTAGCTACGTGACCGGCAGCAAATGAAATTCCCAGAGCATCAACTTTTTTTCACCTCTATAATGAGAATAATAGTAACTACCTGCCTATCTCCCAGGCGATTTGTTTGGTTTTACTTTTTTTTTTTTTCTTTAAAGTAGGCTCCGTGCCCAACGTGGGGCTTGGAACTCACAACCTTGAACTCAAGAGTCGTGTGCTCCACCACCTGAGGCAGTCAGGCGCCCCTCTCCCAGACTAGGATGCTCAAATAAAATCAGTGACATGGAAACCCTCTGAAAATGAAAAAGGACCATTTACAGTTTCTGTTGTTAACAGAAGAATGACAGTAGTAGTCTAAGTTCTTCTAAAGGAAATTCAAGGGAACGGATATAGCCTTGCAAAAACATGTTACTCACAGGATAAGGAAGATACATGTTAGGTAATTCTCCCATTTTTCAAAAATTAAGTTTCCCTAGTTTATCAACTGTACATCATTAGGAACTTATTATAAAGGTAGAAACTTGGAATAAATTTATTTGTTAAAACAAAATGAAAAAATCCCCCAAACAAAAAACAAAACCCTCTAATTTCCAGTGTTTTAGATGTCTGGAAGTAAAAGTTTGGGATCTTTACAAGAGAATTTAAGTCAGAGGGACCTTAATAGAGTTTAACATGAAGTAAACCCAGAGAGTACATTTTCTCCAGGGATTAAACAGTCATGTCCTTATTTTCATTAAAGCTTTCCACTCCCACAAATAATCACACACAAATCAACAATTTACTCACGCAAAAAATCCTAGGATGCCTTCCTCACGATAGATGGTTACTATGGAGTCATAAAGTCCACTAACGTACAGAAGATGGAAAGGCAAAAATACATGAAGATTATTTTGGAGCTACTAAAGAAAACGTTCAATTATCACTTTTGACAAGGTCAAATTTATATCCCACCCCCTTTTCTGCCACCCTCACTCTGTAAAGACAGTTGAATTTGGGACAGGTGTGGAGATATTACTACCTAGTTACATGGAGTCAGGGTGAATTTTGGCTTTAGTGTCTCTGCAGCTTACTCTGAGATCTTGGGTAGCTTCTTAAACGTGCCCAGGCCATTTTCTTCTATTTTCCCTTTTCTGTGTGTGTGCATATCAAATGATGTATCAACTTGATCAAAATGATATATCTAAGGCACCATAAAAATGGAAAGCACTTTTGATAGCTCAGAGCCTGGAGCCTGCAGCCTGCTTTGGATTCTGTGTCTCTCTCTCTCTCTGTTCCTCCCCTGCTCGCACTTTGTCTCTCTCTCTCTCAAAAATAAATAAAGATTAAAAAAAAAAATGTAAAGCACTTCAACTGATCTCCTTGAATCCTTGGAAATAAAAACACTTACCAGTACTTGGATTCTCTGCCGATGAACTGTACCATAGATCTCAGAGTGATCACTGCAGAACACAGAGAAAAGATTTTTAAAACTACGTCGACATAAATTTTGATAGCCCTGAAAAAGAAAAAAAGTTTTTTCCACCTAAAGACACTTTGCTCTCTGGGTAAACTGGATAAATGCCAAAGCAAGTAAGCAAACAAAAAACAAAAACACACAGGCAAGGCACTTAAGTGAACTCCCACATCAATCTGTCTAAGCAGTTGGAGAGGAGAGATCATGCTCTAAAAAGTAAGGTCACAAATCAGATTTCAGTTACCAAGTGCAAACATACCGTGGAAGGGATGTGTGATGAGGGTAGCAGCAGAACGAGCCATCATCTCTCGAGTTGTCTAGAAACAATCAACACACACTTCTGAGATCTAAATAAATGACATTCAAATTCCTGTGAGAAGTAATGTGGGCGACAGGGCCCTCCTGCCCTGAACGTGATACTGTAACACACTGTCATCATCTCAGACCGCTTAGTCCTGGATTTCAACGTTCTGTTGGGGTTACTTCTCAAAACTGATGTGCAAAGCAGATTTCGGTTATCTTCTCGATTTTACAGATTGGGGGACAAAAAAAAGGCAAAAAGACAGGGAGGGTCACTAGCAAATGGTAACCAAGCTAGAAGAAAACTGTGAGGCCTGTGTTTTAGATTTTGAAGTCACTTTCTCACTGTGAGTGATTTCACACTCTGATATCTACATTATTCAAATGTCAGGCTCTAGTTAATCTGTACCAACACAACAACTCTGATTTGTTTTTCCACCACAACCATGTAACTGCAATATCTCAGAAATGCTATTTATCCTAGTTTATCTTTCTTGTCCAGGACTCTGCAAAGAAGTAGCAAAGAAAATTAAATTACAATACTTGGAGGTAGGTTGTAAATACACCAGGTCATTCGTTTATGCATTTAAACATTATCTTCAGTTATTTAGTTAAGACAGCCCTCATGGTATGGTAATCCTGAGAAGAGCCTGTGGGACAGGATGGGCCAACTGAAGTTAAGAAAATACAAAATGTATATTAATACATGTTCCTCTATTTTTTAATAAAAGTAGAAACTTTATGGAAACAAAGTTGATTCATCTGATAGCTACACTTGTAGTAAGATTTGCTTTGGAATATATATTTTATTTATTATTTAAAACTAATTTTTTCCATTTATTTGAAAGAGAGAGATCATGTACATGTGGGAGGAGAGGAGAGGCAGAGGGAGGGAGAGTGGGGGGGGGGTTGGTGAGAGGGGTGGAAAGGGAGAGAGGGAGAGGGAGAGAGACAGAGAGAGAGGGAGGGAGAGAATGAATCCCAAGCAGGCTTCATGCTCAGCACAGAGCCTGACATGGGGCTCAATCCCTGGGATCCCTGGGATCATGATCTGAGCTGAAATCAAGAGATGGAAGTTCAACTGACAGAGCCACCCAGGTGACCCTGGAATATATATTTTAGAAAGCAGCATTTAGGGCACCTGGGTGGCTCAGTCAGTTAAGCGTCTGACTTCAGCTCAGGTCATGATCTCGCGGTTTGTGGGTTTGAGTCCCACGTTGGGCTCTGTGCTGACAGCTCAGAGCCTGGAGCCTGCTTTAGATTCTGTGTCTCCCTCTCTATCTGCCCCTCCTCTGCTCTCGCTCTGTCTCTCAAAAATAAACATTAAAAAAAATTTTTTTTAAAAAGAAAGCAGCATTTACAAGAAAATTGCAACCTCACTAAAAACAATTAGACAATGTGAAGACTAAGAAATCAAAGAGTACTTTTGAAAGCCATAAATATTAAGTCAGGTATGAAACAAACTCCTAAGGCAGGAGATGGGAACAGGAAAATGGGTGTGAGGAACAATCCCCTAAGTCAGAATAACATTGTAAAAACTTTTACGGATAGAGGGGCATCTGGGTGGCTCAGTCCATTGAGGACTTTGGCTCAGGTCATGATAAGCCCCACATCAGGCTCTGTGCTGACAGCTCAGAGCCTGGAGCCTGCTTCAGATTCTGTCTCTGTCTCTCTCTGCCTCCCCCCCACCCCGCCCCCCTTCACACTCTCTCTCAAATGTAAATAAACATTAAAAAAAAAAAATGCTTTTCCAGAGAGATGGATAATATCCAATTCACAAAGGACCTGGCCACTAATTTAACACTGTGCCAGATGTTTACAACTCCATTAGAAAACTTTCAAGGAAAACCTCTTCAATTTTATTTATTTTTTTTTTATAAGATATATTTCTTTTTTTAAATTTTTTTTTCAACGTTTATTTTATTTTTGGGACAGAGAGAGACAGAGCATGAACGGGGGAGGGGCAGAGAGAGAGGGCGATGCAGAATCGGAAACAGGCTCCAGGCTCTGAGCCATCAGCCCAGAGCCTGACGCGGGGCTCGAACCCATGGACCGCGAGATCGTGACCTGGCTGAAGTCGGACGCTTAACCAACTGCGCCACCCAGGCGCCCCAACCTCTTCAATTTTAAAGATGAGATGACCACAAAATTAGTTTCCTTCAAATGCATGCAATCCAAATAGCTTTTTTTTTTTCTTTTTTATGATATCTATATAGAAAAGCCCAAATTAAATTGAAGGTCTGATTTCATTTGGAACAAACGCTGAACACACAGGCCTGATGATCCTAATTCCACAAAATGCCACACTGCATACACTGTGATTTTGGAAAATAGCACAGGATATAATTTGTCTCTTACCTCTTTGATAACTTGGTCGAAGGAAGGTGTGACTTCTTTTTGTACATTCCCAGGGCCTAAATCCTGGAAATCAATACGAAAGACAGATATCTTGAAGGTTTTCTTTCTTTCTTTCTTTCTTTCTTTCTTTCTTTCTTTCTTTCTTTCTTTCTTTTCTTTTTCCTTCCTTCCTTCCTTCCTTCCTTCCTTCCTTCCTTCCTTCCTTCTCTCTTTCTGTTTCTAATTTTTTTAAAGATTTTTTTTTTAAGTAGTCTCTACATACCACACGGGGCTTGAACCTACAGCCCCAAGGTTAAGAGTTACATGTTCCACCAAATGAGCCAGCTAGGTGCCCCTATCTTGATGGTTTTAAATAAAACTGTTCCAACACCTGGCCACTCTGTACACCAACGCTCACTGAGATGAAAGGAAAACTGACTGCTTGTCCCTTCTCCTAAAGAGGACCAAAGAGCAATAATTATCTGCAAGGGAAATGGGCCACCCATGCATACAAATAGGCTCCAACATACCTCAACCTTGTCACATTCCTGGTAATGCTACAAAGGAAAAGAAAAGAAAGGATGATTAGGGCTGTCATAGTGTCATTGAGAGAGGACATAAAATGAAAGTAAAACAGTTTCTGGGTTTTTTTTTGTTGTTGAATATCTCCAATAATTTCTATTTCTATTATCAGTTGGAAGTAAGTGTCTCTAAGATATCTTATTACTAAGTTTAACATATTGGCCAGCTAGAGGAACAGGCAAATGCTCATGAAAACTCTCATGTAAGAGAAGAAATGGGTGCCTGGATGGCTCAGTCAGTTAATCATCTGACTCTTAATCTCAGCTCAGGTCTTGATCTCAGGGTTGTGAGTTCAAGCCTCAGTGAGGGGCCTACTCAAAAAAAATTTTTTTAAATAAATAAGTAAATAAATAAATAAATAAATAGATAGATAGATAGATAGATAAATGAAACAGGACAACAAACCAAAACAGAAACCCAAGGGCATTATTTACTAAACATACACGTTTAGCAGAAATAAACTGGTATAAACATACCCTAGGCCTAAGGTTATGGAAAAAGCCTCATGGCTTTTTCATGAAAAAGCAGAACCAATACCAAACAACCCAATTAAAAAATGGGCAGACGGGGCGCCTGGGTGGCTCAGTCGGTTAAGCGGCCGACTTCGGCTCAGGTCATGATCTCACGCTCTGTGAGTTCCAGCCCCGTGTCGGGCTCTGTGCTGACAGCTCAGAGCCTGGAGCCTGTTTCAGATTCTGTGTCTCCCTCTCTCTGACCCTCCCCCGTTCATGCTCTGTCTCTCTCCGTCTCAAAAATAAATAAACGTTAAAAAAAATTAAAAAAAAAAATGGGCAGAGAATATGAATATACATTGTTCCACACAAGATATACAGATGGCCAACAGGCAAATGAAAAGATTCTCAACATCACTCATCAGCAGGGAAATGCAAACCAAAATCACAATGAGATACCACCTCACATCAGTTATATTGGCTGTCAACAAAAAGAAATAACAGGTGTTAGAGATGATGTGGAGAAAAATGACCTGATTCTGTTGGTGGGAACGTCAACTAAGGCAGCCACCGTGGACAACAGTATGGACACTCCTCAAAAAGTTAAGAATAGAACTATCGGGGGTGCCTGGCCGGCTCAGTTGGTAGAGGATGAGACTCTTGATCTCAGGGTTGTGAGTTCAAGCCCCATGTTAGGGATAGAGATTAGTTAATAAAAAAACTTTTTTAAAGAACTACCATATAAATCCAGCTATTTTACTTCTGGATTATCTGAAGAATATGAACACTAAATTGAAAAGATATACGCACCCTGACGTTTATAGCAGCATTATTTACAGTAGCCAAGATATAAAAACCTAAATGGCCATCGATGGATGAATGGATAAGGAAATTGTGGTATATGTACATAATGGAGTATATTGCTCAGCCATAAAAAAGAATGAATCTTGTCATTTGAGACACAGATGGACCTTCAGGGTACTAAGTTAAGTGAAATAAGTCAGACAGAGAAAGAGAAAAACTGCATTTCACTCACATGTGGAATTTAAACAAACAAACCAAACCAATTCATAGACACGAAGAACAGGTTACCACAAGGGAAGGGGGATGGAAGATGAGTGAAATGGGCAAATGGGGTCAAATGTATGGTGATGGATGGTAACCAGACGATCACTCTGTAATGGACACAGATGTCGAATTATAATTTTGTACACCTGAAACATATGTTTTGTACCAATTTTATCTCACTTAAAAAAAAAGAAAGTAGTACCAATATCAAATTAGGGCAAGGCTCTTTTCTTCACTGCACAAAAGAACAGAGAATTGGTGCCAAGTCTGAATAGCTAAAATCGTTTCACTTTTCCTTTTGTACCTGACTGTTTCTAAAACAGGCGAGAGAAGATTTTGTTCTCTTTTACAGAACTTGAACACTGCCAAGGCTCAGACTAGATTGGAAGAGGAAATATTATTTGTGGGATACTTCAGAAATAGAAGATGGGCTAGGTATTAAATAAAAGAAGCAGACAATTGAGTCACTAGTTATACCAGATTAAAAAAACAGACAATACTTCCTATTAAAAAAAGATTTAAAAGAAAAATCAGAAGAAAGGGAGTAAATGTTAAGATTAAGCAATATGATGTTTTCGGGTCAAATTCCAAGTCTTTAGTTAAGAGTAATTCTAATGGTTTGAGGCGTATTTTAAAATTCTCACTCATGGGGCACCTGGGTGGCTCAGTCAGTTAAGCATCTGACTTCGGCTCAGGTCATGATCTCACGGTTCGTGGGTTCAAGCCCCGCATTGGGCTCTGTGCTGACAGCTCAGAGCCTGGAGCCTGTTTCAGATTCTGTGTCTCTCTCTCTCTCTCTGCCCCTCCCCTGTTCACACTGTCTCTGTCTCAAAAATAAATAAACATTAAAAAAAAAATTAAAAAAAAATAAATAAAATAAAATTCTCACTCATTTCTAGGGGCGCCTGGGTGGCTCAGTCAGTTATGTGTCCGACTTCGGCTCAGGTCATGATCTCACGGTTTGTGAGTTCAAGCCCTGCGTTCCGCTCTCTGCTGTCAGGGAAGAGCCCACTTGGGATTCTCTGTCCCCTTCTCTCTGCCCTTCCTCTGCTCTTTCTCAAAAATAAAGAAACTTAAAATAAAAATTTCCTCCTGTCCTTTCTATACTATTCTGAACAGAATTTAATTTCATTTTGGTTCAAATATACAGAACTCTTTCTTATAAAAGGCTAACAGTTTCACCAACCCTGAACTGGTCTCTCTTCCTGATTGTATGGAACTGCTTTTGATACTAAATGTAGTACCAATCCCGTTATATTTCATTTGGCTACATGTGAAACATATATTCAGGGTACCTAATTACCGGGAGTTTATTACTTTCTGGAACATACAGGACCTTGTTCTCAAGTAGTACGTCTACACATGAAGCCCACTAGAGGACAGCTGTCTTTCCATATGTAAATCTCATTCGCGTAAGGGCAATACTTTCACTGAGCACGGGGGAGGGTGTGGCTGGGAATGAAACACTAGTAATCAATCCACCAAAAATACCTGCCCATTAGGACTCCATTACTCTCACCCACGGGCTACCCACACTTTTCCACATTCAGCCCACAGGCATGACAACAAGAATAAGTATAAGGTGGAGCGCCTGGCTGGCTCAGTGGGTAGACCATATAACTCTTCATCTTGGGGTCATGAGTTCAAGCCCCGCAATGGGAGTTAAAAACATAACAAAAGAATAAGTTTTTGTTAAAAACATAACAAAAGAATAAGTGTAAAGAATAATAAAGTGGCTAAAGGGTGAAACAGCTTCCATGTGAGGAATCTACTGAAAACCTTTCCAACTCAAAAATCAATGAAGGGTGAAGAGAATTTAAAATTGAAGCCAATTAGCATTCATACATGAAATTTAAGGAACAAAACAAATGGGGGCACCTGGGTGGCTCAGTTGGTTAAGCATCCGACTTTAGCTCAGGTCATGAACTCATGGTTCACGAGTTCAAGCCCCACACTGGGTTCTGTGCTAACAGCTCAGAGCCTGGAGCCTGCTTCGGATCCTGTGTCTCCCTCTCTCTCTCTCTCTCTGCCCCTCCCCTGCTCATACTGTCTCTCTCTCTCAAAAATAAATAAAACATTAAAAAAAAAAATGATCATGGGGAGAAAAAAGAGGCAAACCAGGAAACAGACTCTTTACAGAAAACACACTGATAGATACTAGAGGGGAGGTGGGCGGGGTGGGGGATGGGTGAAATAGGTGATGGGGACTAAGGGGGGGCACTTGTGATAAGCAGAGGGCGATTTAAGGAAGTGTTGAATCACTACACCGTACACCCAAAACTAATATTACACTGTATGTTAACTAATTGGAATTTAAATAAAAACTTAAAAATGAAATCGAAGCCAATTAGATCATGAAACTAACAAAATCAAGGCATGGTCATCAGATGATAAAACATTAGAACTGGGGTAATGTGAAAGCCTACAAAAGTAAATGAAGGATTGTGCCCAGTACTATTTAAATAAGCAGTTAGTGGGGCATCTGGGTGGCTCAGCTGGTTAAGTGTCAGACTTCAGATCTCTGGCTTTCTTAAAATCAAATGCCTCAGATACAGATAGCCAAAGTTCCACCTCTCACCTCTTCCCCTACTTCCCCAAAATTTCTACAGCCCTGCAGTTGACATGGACCTTGGTGGTTAAAAAAATTTTTTTAAATTTATTTAACATTAACACATTTGCAGAAACAGTGCACAAAATATAAATGATGGAATAAATAATCACACAACAAATATCCACATAGCCATGATCCAGGTCAGGAAAATCATTTCCATTACCCCCAAATGTCATGCATGGTCCCTTTTCCCTTCCCTCTTCCCACAAATAACCACTATCCTGACTTTTATGTTTATCTTGCTAAGTTTTTTAAGAAAATAAGTTTGTGGGGCACTTGGCTGGCTCAACAGGTAGAGCATGCGACTCCTGATCTCAGGGTTGTGAGTTTAAGACCCACATTGGGCACACAGCTTACTTTAAAATATAAATCAATAAAAAAACCTTTTAAACATAAATACATAAAAAATAAGTTTGTAACAGAAAACATTTTACTAGGAGTAATGATAAGAAAAAAATAACTTCAGAAAGAAATATGTATGTTTTAATCAGCCTCCTTCCTCCTTCAAAGAAATCAAATGAGCTATGCAGGAGATCGAATAATTGCATTCATTTTCTTCTCAGAATGACTGATTCACAGGACGAAGGTTGTGTAGATCAAAGTCAAATGCTTCATTTTATACAAATTCCCCTTGCGTCCCAGGAAAGAATTAAGAATGGGTATTTGGGGGCGCCTGGGTGGCTCGGTCGGTTGAGCGTCCGACTTCGGCTCAGGTCATGATCTCGCAGTCTGTGGGTTCAAGCCCCGCATCAGGCTCTGTGCTGACTGCTCGGAGCCTGGAGCCTGTTTCAGATTCTGTGTTTCCCTCTCTCTCTGACCCTCCCCCGTTCATGCTCTGCCTCTCTCTGTCTCAAAAATAAATAAACATTAAAAAAAAAAATTAAAAAAAAAAAAAAAAGAATGGGTATTTGGGGGCACCTGCGTGGCTCAGTCGGTTAAGTGTCTGACTCATGACACTGGCTCAGGTCATGATCTCACAGTTTGTGAGATGGATCCCTGCGTTGGCTCAGCTGACAGCTCCGAGCCTGCTTGGGATTCTCTCTCTCTCTCTCTCTCTCTCTCTCTCTCTCTCTCTCTCTCTCCCCCCCCTCTCTCTGTCCCTCCCCCACTTGTGCATACATTCTCTCTTTCTCAAAAATAAGTAAATTTTTAAAAAGAAAAAAAAATGGATATTTGAAGAAAATGTTTTCAAGAGGAAGAAAGATCACGGTCATAAATATATCTTTAAAACTGCTCTTGGGGCACCTGGGTGGCTCAGTCAGTTGAGCATCCAACTTCAGCTCAGGTCATGATCTCCTTGTTCTTGAGTTCAAGCCCCGCATTGGGCTCACTGCTGTCAGCCTGTCAGCACAGAGCCTGCTTTGGATCCTCTACCTGCCTCTCTCTGTCCCTCCCTCACTTGTGTTCTCCCCCCAAAAGTAAACAATTATTAAAAAAAACAAAAAGCAAAAATAACCCTGCTCTTGGTCAGTAGAACAAACTGCATAAAAGGTAATCTAAATCTTTGGGAAGATGAACTGATGTTCTTACCTGTAAAACTTTACCATGGACCACGGTCCCAAGGACTCCTGAGCACAGTCTTGGAGTTAAGCCTGTGAACAACCCACGCTTCCCGTCAATGCTGGCGATGTGCTGAGCTAAGAACACAAGTCAGAGATTTAAATTCCAGCTGAAAGAAATAGTTACATAGAAATTTCATGTCAACAGGCTTTCTACATGTTTTCTTTCCATACCTCCTGCCTACCTATCATCATCCTCAATGTCCTCCAATTCCAAATAAATCAAAAACACTTACCATAACAAAACAGACCAGGAAGCTGACATACTTGCCGCCCAAAAATATTTCGTCCTATTGTTGGAGGAAGAGGCTCATATCCCACCTTTAAAAACAATAGGATGTATCAATACTAAGCAATATTCCCCAAAATACCTTGGTTGTAAAGTTATAATTTTTAACCTCAGTTAAAATACAGCATACATTTTCCGAGGCAATGATGAAGTATCATCCTTGTCAGTTTCTTATTCCCTCAACTGATAACACTAGTTTCAATGAACTCCAAGCTTCCTTTTGTTTGGTTCAAATTCTACAAAGTAAGCCATGTAGCTGAGCTGGACTAGTATCAAATTGAAAACAGAGTAAGGGAACTTTTGTGTTAGGAAAGCTACAGTTTACTGAGGCTCAAAAATATTTTCTAAAGAAAATCTAACACATTTTAAATAAAGTAATCTCCATGCCCAGCGTGGGGCTTAAACTCAAAACTGGGAGATCAAGAGTTGCATGCTATACCAACTAAGCCAGCTACGCTCTCCAAACACATTTTTTATATTTGGACAAAACAGAAGACTAAGCCAGTATCCACTATGGATTTGGCTATCAAGATGAAACACTCAAAAGGCAAATGCAGATACGGTTGGATAAGTCATGTGGGAAATGATTATAAGCTAAATCCATGTTAAACAAGCTGATTGTCATTAATAATCTAATGAAGACCATTTTAGAGTTAATGATTATCATTTTATTTCTACAATATATTCAGCATTCTTAGTGCTAAAGAGAAAGTTGAGAGAACGAATGCCATAGGACTTGGTTTTGACTCGTTATTGCCGTGATTCTTAACCTGTTCAATTAACTCCTGACTGAGCTCCCTCAAAGCGCTACCATACAACTATTTTTAAAACTGAGTATTCGATGGGCACCTGGGTGGCTCAGTCAGCTAAGCATCTGACTTCAGCTCAGGTCATGATCTCGTGGTTCACGGGTTCCAGCCTCGCATCAGACTCTATGCTGACGGTGCGGAGTCTGCTGGGGATTCTCCCTCTCTCTCTCTCTCTCCCTCCTTCCCTGCTCCTCTCCCATTGTCTCTCAAAATAAATAAATAAACTAAAAAAAATAAATAAATAAAGCTGAGTATTTGGAAATTTCACCAAAACCCTTAAAGACACTTGGCAACACACAGAAGTTAAGTAATCAGGGCTGAGGATATTAAAATTTTTGAGACAAGAGCTCTAGACGTCACTAAAAAAACACTGTCTCCTGAAGAAGTACTGAGCTCATAGCAGATTTACTGCAAAATGTCATCTCAAGACACTATTTAGCTACAAATGTGCCAATTCTGTTTTAGATGTCATAGCACATTTCAATCAAAGTCTTTGTTCTTAGTTAAAATAATTTACTTTATAATAGCCTTTTATGTACGGAATCTGAATCCACATGGGTCAGCCAAGCGACACATAATATGGAGTAGCATCAACTCAATAGTAAGAAATGTGGCCCTCCTTAGGGTCTTGCATGTTTCTGACAGAAAGGTAGATGGCAAGGACAGGGGTTCTAATCAGGGAATAATGCATGACATAATTATGTCAACTCTCAACAAGAGTTTAAAAAAATGAATGACATGCCCATCACAGGGAATTCTAGAAAGGCAACTGAAAACACTATCAAATAGTGTACCATCAGGTAAAACCTGGGTTACTTGCCTGCGAATGTAAAATGTCACTTAAGGATTATTTCACAGTAGATTAGAAACTAACATATATGCTTCAACTCTTTCATCTGAACTATTCCAAGCTCAGACAGATGTGGTTTCCACTGTCATGAGTCACAAGGGCTGCTCTTGGGAGAGCGCTCAGTGAGCTCAGTGAATCCTCTCACTTCTGAATGAGCTCCTTGTGTTTACCTGGGTATCTGGTGCTAAAATCTCAGAAGAGTAACAGTAGCAAAGAAAAAAGAAGAAAAAAAAACGCTAATCAAGTGTTGGCTCCCCTTTAATATCAAATTTGTCTTTAATATATTTAATGTCTTGCGTTCGGGCCGGGGGAGGAGGTGAATGCTAATTTCAGAGGGGTATGCAGGGAGCGTTGGGAAGCTCTTGGTGGCAACTGGCCAGTATCAACCTCAGGAATGAAAAAACAAAGTTCAGAGGAGCCACCGGGCAGGGCAGGACGGCAGTTGGCTACGGGGAAAGGATCGGGCCTCCCCGCCTTCCCCAGGAAGGAAGCGAGACCTGGGGAAGGCCCATGGGCAGTGGAAGAGGCGCGGGCAGTGGAAGCTGTCCCTGCGGGGAAGGAAGGGGCAGCAGGGAAAAAGCAGCATCTCAGGGGACTGAAGGCCCGGGAAGGCTGGAGCCGATCGCCAAGCGCGGAGGGCAGCGGCGACTAAACAAGGCGCCGGGCGGGGAAAGGGATGGCGACGACTCATACCTGGATGAGCACCTTCACGTACATGAGCGGCTGGGACAGGATGGTGAGGCCGGAGCCCAGGAGCACCTGACTGGCTGCGTCCGCCATGATGACACCCGCGGACGGACAGACAGATCAAGCCACCAAGCGACCAAGCCGCTCCCGTATCACGTGCCAGGGCCGCCGGCTTCACTGGCCCGCCCGCGGCGCGCGCACACACGCACGCACCGGCGCGCGCCTCTCCGCCCAGTCCCCGCCCACCGCCCCGCCCGGAGAAACGGCAGGCGCTCGCGAGCCAGCGCAGGGGTCGGGGCGGGGCTTACAGGCCAGGGCCGCATGCGTTTTGTAGTGGGATCCGCGCCCTCCACTAAGAAAGGCAGTTTCTTTTGCGCTTGCGCAGGCTGGGAGCCTCGGAAGGAGAAGAATGGGCGTGGCAGTGGGGCGTCAGTGACCCTGACGGCAAAGGCAAGGTCAGAGGAATAAAAGAATTGGAGAGTTCTCTGTATGCTTTGCCTGGACAGTTGCACTTTGGGCTGAAAGAGCGGTCCTAGGCTGGCCGACTCCATTTTGTTGTGTGTCCTCCATCTTGAGTGACTATGTCCCCGACGTGGCCCCCTTTTCTGGGAAAACCCGCAGAAAGAAATTCCTGCTTACTCGCTAAAACCCCCTCCCCTTGAGTAACTTCCCGCTCACCCGTTCAAACTTCCCATACAAACCACACCTGGCAACCTGCACAACGGGACTCTGATCCTTCCCCAGCCAATCAGCTAAGGCCACGACCATCACCCCACCAACTACCCCTAGACCCCTATGAACCTTTGTGCTTTTGAAACTCAGTCTCTCTCTGGCATCTCACCGCTGCGTCGGTGCAGGTAGGAGATTGAGCTCGAGCTAGCTCAAATGAAGGTTCCTTGCTTTTGCATCAGACTCGGCTCCCTGGTGGTCTTTGGGGATCGTGATTTCTGGGCATAACATTTGGGAGCTCCTCCGGGATCCCCAAGACTCCCGAGGGACCCCCCCCCCCAACCCAGAGAGCCTGACTGGCCACGGTTAGTGTCTGTCCATTCCCTGTCTCTTCTGTGTGAGCTCATTTCTGAAATTCTGGTAGTGCCTGGAGTGGTCTAAATGGACGCACTGGAGGACCACGGGCCGGGAGTTTCAGAAGACGTTCCAATCCTCCCTTCTGGAGGGATGTGGATTCCCCTCAAAGGTCTGAGACGAGGCGGGTCGCTCCCGCCGGTGGGCGTGAGGCCATTGTCTAGCTTTCAGTTTTGCTTCCACGGACTTGGAAGACTTTCTAGGGGCCCTCTGTCTGTCTGTTTCTGTGTTTCTCTGTTTTGTTCTGTGGACTTACTAGACGGATGTTATGGGACAGACTCAGACTACTCCTCTAAGTATTATGATTGATCACTTTAAGGATGTCAGCCAAAAAGCTAACAACCTCAGTGTGGAAGTCCAAAAGGGTTGGTGGCAGGTTTTTTGTTCTAGCGAGTGGCCAGCTTTCAATGTCAGATGGCCGCCAGAGGGCACGTTCAACCTCCCTACCGTCCACCGAGTCAGGGGTATCATCTCTCGGCCTAAGACGGGCCATCCTGATCAGCTCCCTTACATTATCACTTGGCAGGACCTTGTAGAAGACCCACCCTCTTGTCTTAAGCCCTTCCTAGCCCCACACCCTCCAGAGCCAAAACCCATTCTTGCTTTGCAGGGGACAGAGAAGAAGGAGAACAAGAAAAGTCTTACCCAGCCTTCAGCACCCCTCTACCCTGTCCTACGGGGGGGGGGGGGGGGGGACTAAAAAAGAATTATTTTTTCCTTCCCCGTATAACCCCCTAGGATGCCGGAAGAACACCATCCTCCCCCTCTGGGGGAGGCAGACGCTGTTCAGAGAGCGGGAGGCGGAAACGCTCCAGTGGGAAGCCCGCCCTTTACCAGACAAAGGGCTTAGAGGGAGCAGTCTGCCTCCGCCGCTGACTCCACTATTCTGCCCCTGCGAACCACCGGACCCCCAGACGCGAAGGGGAATCAGCCCTATCACTATTGGCCTTTCACCACTAGTGACCTCTACAATTGGAAAGCTCAGAATCCTAAGTTTTCCGAGAAACCGGCAGGGCTTATTGATTTATTAGACTCTGTTCTTTTTATCTATCAGCCCACGTGGGATGATTGCCAGCAGCTCTTGCAGGTCCCGTTCACGACTGAGGAAACAGAAAGAATCCTCAATGAGGCCTGAAAACTAGTTTCGGGCGCAGACGGGAATCCCACCACCGACCAGGCTCAGATAGATGCCTCCTTCTCCAAGTGGGATTTCATCACAGCAGAAGGTAAGGAGAGGCTCCGGGTCTACCGCCAGACTCTAATGGGGGGGGGGGTCCCCGAATGGCTGCTAGGAAGCCAACCAATTTGGCCAAGGTAGGAAATGTGCAACAGGAAAAAGATGAATCTCCGGCTGCCTTTTTAGAACGGATCATGGAGGCATTCCGTACTTATACTCCCATGGATCCAGAGGCTCCAGAAAGCAAGGCAGCTGTTATCATGGCCTTTGTAAACCAATCGGCCATAGACATTAGAAAAAATTACAGAAAATAGATAGACTAGGAGAAAAAAAGTCTGCAGGACTTACTGGTAGTAGCCGAAAAGGTATATAATAACCGGGAGCCTCCTGAGGATAAGTAGGCTCTCGCCATGGCGGCTGCCAGCAGTAAGCAGACTCGAGACCTGGCCCGAATACTACTAGCTATCACTGCTGACTCCCCTGAGGAACGAGACCTCCATCTCCAGCAGCTGGCGGACGACTCAAGAGGAGGTAAAGGAACCAACAAGGGGGGGAAGCAGAGGCTGCAGAAAGATCAGTGCGCATACTGCAAGGAGATAGGGCATTGGGCCCGAGATTGTCCAAAAAGGCCGGCGGGAAGGGAAGCAAGACTGATTGAGTAAAAGTCTTAGAGCTAGATGAACTGAGTGATTAGTGGAGTCGGGGTTCAGACCCTCTCCCCGAGCCCAGGGTAACTCTTAAAATGGAGGGGACCCCTGTTGACTTCCTTGTCGACACTGGAACGCAACATTCGGTCCTCTGCACCCCACAAGGAAAACTAGCCAGCAAGAAGTCCTGGGTACAAGGGGCAACTGGTATGAGCCAGTATTCATGGACTACCCAAAGAATGGTAGATTTGGGGACTGGTCAGGTATCCCACTCGTTTATGGTAATACCAGAATGCCCCTACCCACTGTTAGGACGGGACTTACTGACCAAGATTGGAGCTCAGATAACTTTCAGACAAGGGGGGCCTCAGGTCACTGATGGCAAGGGCCACCCCATCCAGGTCCTGACCATGAAACTAGAGGATGAATACAGCTTCCACCAGGAGGCGCTCCCGAGAGAGGATAATATAGACAGATGGCTACAAGAATTCCCCTCAGTTTGGGCAGAGATCGGGGGGTGGGGTGGGGGCATAGGACTAGCCACCCACAGGACCCTGGTCCTGGTAGAGCTCAAGCCAGGAGAAGGTCCCGTAAGGATCAAACAATACCCCATGTCTCAGGAGGCCCAGAAGGGGACCCAGCCACACATCCAGAGACTACGAAACCTAAGGGTACTAGTTCCTTGTCAGTCTGCCTGGGACACCCCCCTACTGCCGGTCAAAAAGCCTCACACAAATGACTATCAACTGGTACAAGACCTCCGGGAAGTAAATAAGAGGGTCATGGACATACACCCAACTGTTCCCAACCCACGTACTCTCTTGAGCTCCTTGGCACCCTCCAGGGTCTGGTATACTGTATTAGATTTAAAGGACGCCTTCTTCAGTCTGCCGCTGGCACCCCAAAGCCAACCCTCGTTCGCCTTCAAGTGGCATGATCCAGAGGAGGGCTACAGCGGGCAACTCACCTGGACATGGCTGCCTCAGGGGTTCAAAAATTCTCCCACCATCTTCGACGAGGCACTACACGAGGACCTGGGTGAGTACAGAAAGGAGCACCCTGGCCTCACCCTCCTACAGTACGTAGGTGACATCCTGATTGCTGCCGACACGGCCGAGGACTGTGAGCAAGGGACCCAGGACCTGCTGGCTACCCTGGGGGCCTTAGGGTACCAGGCATCTGCGAAAAAGGCTCAGATATGCAGGGAGAGGGTAAGTTACCTGGGATACATCCTGGAGGGCGGACAGCGGCGGTTATCAGATGCCAGAAAAATCTGTCCTGAAGATCCCTACTCCCACCTCCTGAAGGGAAGTAAGGGAATTCCTAGGACCGGCCAGCTACTGCCGCCTCTGGATCCCGGGGTTTGCTGAGATCGCCAGGCCCCTATATGAAGCCACCAAAGAGGGAAAAACATTTGAATCGACTGAAAAAGAGGAAACTGCCTTTAATCAGTTGAAAAAGGCCCTCCTAGGTGCCCCAGCCCTGGGCCTGCCAGACATTATGAAGCCCTTCCACCTCTTTGTAGACGAACACAAGGGAATAGCAAAAGGGGTTCTAACTCAAGCCTTAGGCCCCTGGAACCGCCCAGTGGCTTACCTGTCCAAGAAGCTAGACCCAGTGGCTGCTGGCTGGCTGCCATGCCTAAGAATTATTGCGGCGACAGCACTCCTTGTCAAGGACGCAGACAAACTGACCCTAGGACAGGAGATCTGGATCATGACCCCACACGCCATTGAAGGGGTCCTGAAACAGCCTCCTGATAGATGGATGAGCAACACACGTATGACTCATTACCAGAGCCTCTTACTCAACCATCCCTGGGTGCAGTTCCACCCCAGTGCGGCCCTCAATCCTGCAACTCTGCTGCCCAACCCTGACCTAGATGCTCCACTACATGATTGTGCAGGGATCCTGGAGCAAGTACATGGATTCCGGACGGACATGACCGACCAGGCCCCTCCCTGATGCCGAGGCTACTTGGTTCACTGATGGCAGCATCTTTGTGTGGGACGGACACAGGTATGCGGGTGCAGCGGTGGTCACCAAAACGGACACCGTATGGGTGGAGGCTCTTCCCTCCGGAACGTCAGCCCAGCAAGCAGAGCTCGTCGCCCTCACCAAGGCGCTGACACTGGGAGCTGGAAAACGGCTTAACATCTACACACACAGCCGTTATGTGTTTGCCACAGCTCATATTCATGGGGCAATTTATCAGGAGAGGGGGTTACTAACGGCAGAAGGACGGACTATAAAAAATAAGCAGGAGATACTTGACCTGCTTAC